TTAGAGCAGTACTGGGTTGCATTTAAAAAGCGACGGAGAGGCTGGACCGTAACCCTATAAACATTGAAATATATACCCAAAATCGAAAATTTATTAGTACTATACGAGTTTTGGATCCGTAGAGGACTGGACCGTGGCACGAGACGACCCCTGATCCACCATTGAGTAAAACTGTGATAAGATTGACTGTAACCGAATGTACGTAGTGCAGAAGTCAATGAAAATGATATATTACAAAACATTGCTCATTGTCTGTGAACTCCCAGCCGATTGGCAGTTCAAAATCGAATTATCCACGCACAACAGCCATTGATGTATCAGAGCTCTCTTCTAAGGGCATTCAGGTAGATCACTTCAATTATGCTTTAAAATATTGGTGCTTTAAAGTACAACTTCAAGTTGTACTAGAGCGTTAAAAATACAAATTAGAGTTATACTATAAAAGCAAAAACTAAAACACCAATACTTTTAAACATTGTAAAATTCCTCATCCAGATAATATAATTGGATTAATATTCTTGAACTAATTTCTCATTTACTTTGATAAGTATAACCGTGTTTCTTCGTGTTGGTTGGTGAAATAAAAAATGAGTATTACTGTTAAAAAAAGCACCCAATATTTTACTTATATGAATACAGCCACTGGTACTGCCACTGCGTTCCACACTTAGATGTACCCGAGTCCTGACCACTGCACATGAACATAATTAATTCTTCATTTTTCTCATTCATTACACCATTAATTTTAGTATTAGTCTGAGTGATTTGATAGTATCTAGATTTTGGGTGTATATAATAACTCTATCTTGTCATAGTCATTTCCATTATCCATGTACATTACACAGTGCTGCAACTCTGCTACCAGGAAGAGAAACAAGCAGAAAATATAGGAGACTCGAAATAATAATAGAAACTACTTGGTATTAGTTTGATGGACATGTCCAATTGTAAGCTCTCAAAATTTTAGTATATATAATACTATTATAGTAGTATTTTTGATTATCCACTTAGTTTTTCATAAAATGCAGAGCTGCAACAACACTAACACTCTCTTTGGGAGAAGGGGAGCTGTGGAGGGGTGCATATTTTGAGGGGTAACGAAGGATTCCAATGCAAATGCATCTATTTGGATATTTAGAAATAGTAGCTGGGGGTGCATTGGAGGGGTAATTTTACTATTTTTCTTCACCCAAAAAATGGGGTGCAAGGGAAGAAGAAGGAAGGGTGGAAGGTGGGGCAGACGTGGGATGGGTGGAAAGAAGAGGAAGGTGGGACCGAGGGAGGAAAAGATTAGAGTCTAGAGAGAGGTGGTGGAGTTATTTTGATTTTTCTATTATAATAATAATTATTATATTAAAATTGATACTTTACACCTCATTTGGCACCCTCCTACTTTTTCTCCCAAACAATAATTTGCACCTCAATTTGCACCCTCCTATAATTTGCTCCCTCCTATAATTTGCACCCATATTTGCACCCTCCTCTAATTTGCACCCCTCGTTGCCAAACGAAGTGTAATAGCAGAGAAAAACGAGATGCAAGTCAGATGAGACTCACAGTAGACAGTTTGGTGTTATTCTAGTAGAAATGTATTAAATCTTTCCATACTGGATAATTCTTCAAGGGTTTGTTTAATTTGTAAGAAATTTGAAATTTGACAAAACATATCCTTAAAAATGTATTATAAATTATCTGAATATTCATTTTTCATCAACCATACTTTTTATAAACTCTTATCAAACATACTTTTTGCACAGATAAATCATATTAATTGTGTTTTTCAAAACGATATCCACTTTGTTATATTTTCGGAACAAAAAAATTGAGACATTTATTACCATTCTATATCATATGGTATTGATCGATTGGTATTAAATAAGAGCATACCATATGGTATGAAAGAATATCACGGTGGTATGAACATATCAGACTGTGAGATGGTTGCATGCATGATAATAAGAATATATTAACTTAGGGCTTTCAACATTGTGTACCACAAGATACCACCGCTACACGGCTACACCAGGGTGGTATGGAGTGATATTTTTTGGTAATGTAATCCCCCCCCCCCCCCCCCCCCCCCCCGGAATTTGTTGATCCAATAGATCATGATGAACTCGTTCCTTCTGTGCAAATAATTTCAAAAACAACTTAAAAACGAAGAAGATACCATATGGTATAGAGTTGGTAACGACAGGTACGAAATTTTTTTCTCAAAAAATATTGAAAATTGATCTCATTTTTAGAGCACAACGAATTCGTTCCATATGCGTAAAAAAAATTGAAATTCAAGTTAGAACGAAAAAGATAAGAGCCGATTAAGAAAACTAGGGAAAATAAAAAGTATTTAATTCGCAACTCTTAGATCTGAATTTTTAGGGCTCACATAAATCCAAAAGTCCAGATGTAGTTATTGAAGGGTGCTAACCAAAGATTATGCACCCTATCTTGAACCCCCGAGGAGAGAGAGAATGAGAAGGAAAGTTTGTTACTTTCCTTAGCTAACTAATTAGTCTGATTACATATTCATACCTTAACTTCCTAGCTTCACTAACTGAATCCCAAGAGCTTTGTGGTATTTGCATTTTGATCCATTCAATCATAATCAAATATGATTATGATCTACGTTAGCCTTCTCTGTAAACTAAGCATGGATTCTCTTAGGCTTTGTATGGAGATCAACTCAAGAAAGATGTGTACTGGAGGTGCCTTGGTAAAGGGATCCGTGCGCTGAAGCTTGGTATATATGTGTTGTAATCTTAGTTCATAGCTTGAACTTGATCTCGCGCGAAGTAGCAGTCAAACTCGGTGTGCTTCATGCGCTCGTGATGAATATAATTTTGCGTCATCTTCACGGCTGAAAAGTTGTCGCAGTTGATCGTGTAGGGGATATGAGGTTGGATGGGAAGTTGCATAAAGAATTTAGGACCCTTAATGGTTCACCATATGTATCTTGAAGGATTATGTATTCTGCCTTGACAGAAAAACGTGAGAGTGTTTGTTTTTCATGGAACGCCAACTAACGAGAGCATTGGCAAGAGAAATAGAAAAGCTTGTGATGGCTCGTCTAGTTTCAGGACATCCTGCCTACTGCCTAGTCTGAATCAGAAAAGGCAGCGAGTTTGTGAGGTGAATTGGTAGAGAATAGAACTCTTTTAGTAGGTGTAAATTTAATGTGACAAAAAAGCTTTTCAATTACTAATTCGTGTTAGTAGTTGGAACATCTTCAAATTGACAGAGCTGATTAACAGAATAGTAAATGTCATGACGAGTATTGCACAGATATTGAAGTCTTCTTGTGTCAGTTAGGAGATCCAAAGAGTATTTTCTTTAGCAAAGGTGTCTTTAATGCTAAAGGCCTTATCTATAGTGTCTTTAAACTTCGGGATTTCTGATATTGAATTACCAGTGAGTACTATGTCATCAACATAAACTAGTAAAGTAGTAAAAATGTGATCAAAATTATTCATTTAGAGGGAATATTCACATTTAGATTGACTATAGCCTAGTGTAAGTAGTGTAGAAGTTAGTTTAGCAAACCATTGGCGGCTTGCTTGTTTAATCCATGTCGGGATTTAATAATTCTGCATACTATATTTTTGCCTTTAGGTATGTATTTCAAACCATGAGGTTTAGTCATGTCTACCTCTTTATCTAAATTCCCATGGAGAAATGTTGTATTTACATCAAGTTGTTCTAAGAACCAATTCCAAGTTGTAGCTAGGCTAATATGATTCTAATAGCGGTCAATTTGACAAATGGTGAAAAAAGTACCAAGATAATCAATTCCAAGTGTCTGAGTGTATCCTTTAGCAACTAGTCTTGCTTTTATACTTGTTAATGCTTCCATCTAGTTTGACTTTAAGTAAAAAAAAAAAACACTTGTTGCCAACTAGTTTATTACCTTTGGGTAGATAAGCTAGTTCCCAAGTTTCGGTTTTGCCTATGGAATTCAATTTCAAATTATTGTTGCATTCCACTAAGGTGATTTGGATGCTTCGAAATAAGAAGTTGGTTTTTTTATACCAGATATGCATAGAGCAGAGTGTTTGAATGTTGGATGTAAGGAAGAATATGTGAGATATTATTGTATAGTGTATGTGATCCTAGTATATGATGCTTCAGTTGCTGTAAGTGAATTGCATTTGTATATAGCTTACTAGGGGGTTCTTTTACCCTAGTTGATTTTCTGAATGTATTGGTCGCGGTGGATTGCTGGAGATGTGCAAGGGCAATTACTTCTGGAGCTATTTTTTCAAGATGTGCTTGAGATTTTGTGACCTCAGCCAATTCCTCGGTGGAAAGGTGTGAGAGATCATGACTAGCAGGTGTTATAGGATATTAAACAGTTTGAGGTAGAGAATTAATGAGAAAGGATATATCCCAATAAAAATATGTGAACGGATTTTGTTGTGGTATGACACTTTGGTTGAAAATTGTGCTGCTCTATATGGAAATCTTTTTTCAAAGAAGGTGACATCTCTGGAAAATGAAGATGCCGTGAGTGTAAAGATTAAAGAGTCTATAGCCTTTTGTTCAAGGAGGAAATCCTAGGAATATGCAAGGGTATACTCTAAAATCTAACTTATGTACCATAGTAGCATAAGTTAGTCATCCAAATACTTTCAAATGAGATAATTTAGGTTTTTAACCTGTTAATTTCTAATGTGGAATCCTGTGTTGTAAATTGGGTGTTGGACTTCTGTTTATTAGGCAAGCTGCATAGTTGCTGCAAAATTCCTAATTGTTTTGGAAGTTTGGCCTGAAAAAGTAAGTCTCGTGTTACAAATATGAGATGTTGATGCTTTATTTCAAAAATATCGTTTTCTTGAAAAGTATGTACACGGGTAGATAGGGGACCAGTTACTATAAAAACACCTCTTGTGTTGTTACTGTGACATCACCAACTCCGGACCAATGAAAACCTGGAGTTTTACTGACTTTTTAATTACACACGTTGACTCAACTTACATAGGCAAAAATTCAAATAAGGGCAAACTTGTCATTTGAAAAATTCATTCCTCCAGAAAACATCCAATTTCTCTCTCCCCACCCCTACCACCGCTTCTTCCTCCCCATCGATGGTCGCCGTCAAACTCCTCTGCAGATTCAATCGCCTCTGTTGCATAAAATAGATTACAACAGGGGAGATCTATAGTCAACTTCCTTTAGAAACATATACTAGCAGGAACCTAGCTAGAAAGAGAATGATGGATTCAATTTTTGTTTTCTTTCGATGACGACTTGAGTTTGGAAGAAACAAATTCAGTTCTATGAGCAGATCCTAAAGAGCCGCAGCTCCTACAACCGCCTCTCCTTTGGCGTCTCAGCCGCCACAGTCAAATCGTCGACATACATTTCTCCACCATCGAAAACCTTTGCGGCTCTGCCTTCTACGCCGCCATTGAACTTCATCGTTTGTCTCTAGTTTCCAGTTCTCCAATCCTTGCACGCCAATGCAATTCTATGCTCTCCTTACTATTCTCCATCACCAACGCTTCTGGTTCGTTGGGAATGTCGAAGCTGTTGGGTATTAGCGGAAGTAATGGTAATTTTGGATCAAGACAAAGGAAACATTTGGTGTTTAATCACTCATTTTTAGAAAACACTCAAACAAACAATGCCTTACACTTTTGGCTATTGTTTTAATTACACAAGAGTAAAGAACTTGCATACATCGCACACACTTTGTGCTTTCTTTCTTTCTTTCTTTCTTTTGTTTCTGTTACACACTCTACACAACCCATACTTACAACACATATATATATATATATATATATATATATATATATATATATATATATATAATTGTAAATGCAAGAACCAATCACCCATCACATACTCTTCAATTCTCCAGCAACGTGAATAACAAACTAACATGGTCTTTAATATATGTATGTCCCATGCATTACTTCTCTTGTCTCCTTTGCATTTGCTGTACGTGATAATTGAATCATATTATTTGGTTGCTGGAGCTTCATATCACCTCATCTATTTGTGAACACCTCATGTTCCATAGGTCATTCACATTTATCATAAGAGACAATAATAATTAATCCATTGTTGATAATGTTGAGGCCTACCATGTGTAGTGTTTAGTGATAGGTTGATTGCAAATTACCATTCAACACCCCCTCTTAATTTGCAATTCGGAGTAGCTCCTTGAACTTCTCGAATTTTTCACGAGTAACCGCCTTTGTCATGATATCTGCTGGTTGGTCGTCGGTGTTGATGAATTCCATCACGATTAGTCCTTCGTTGACGAGGTCTCGAATGAAATGATGACGCACCTCGATATGCTTCGATCTTGCGTGAAATACTGGATTCTTTGTCATGGCTATGGCTGACATGTTGTCACAATGAATAATGGTTGGACCATTTTCATTTTGCTGCAAATCAGAAATTAATCTTTTTAGCCATACCGCTTCGCACGCTGCATCTGTAGCTGCGATATATTCTGCTTCCGCTGAAGATAGAGCAACAGTCTTTTGCTTCTTTGAACTCCAGGAAATGGGTTTTGAACCCAGACAGAATATGTACCCCGATGTGCTTTTTCGATCATCTAGTGATCCTGCCCAGTCACTATCGGTAAATCCAGTCAGCTTGCTTTCTGCTTCTTTCTTGTACATCAGGCCCAATTTCTTTGTACCTTGAAGATACCGCAAAATTCTTTTGGCTGCTGCAAAATGAAGTTTGCTAGGTTCATTCATAAATCTTGATATAAGACTTACTGAATGACATATATCCGGCCTGGTATGTGTCAGGTAAATGAGTGACCCGACAAGACTTCTGTACAGCTTTCCATCGACGTTTTCAGCTCCATCATTGCGTTGTAATTTCTCGTTTAACGCCATCGGTGTTGAGATTGGTTTGCACGTTGCCATGTGAAATCTTTTCAGCATATCTTCGGTGTACTTCTCCTGTGAAATAAATATTTCTCCAGGTGACTGCTTCACTTGGATCCCAAGAAAATACTTCATGAGTCCCAAGTCCGTCATCTCGAATTCTTTCATCATGGCACTTTTGAATTCTTCGATCATATGCTGACTTGTACCTGTGTAAATCAAATCATCAACATATAAACAAACCATTAGAAAATTTTTTCCTTCTCCCTTTTTGATGTAGAGAGATGCTTCACTCGGACTTCTTTGAAATTCGTTTTGCTGAAAATATCGATCAATTCTGCTGTTCCAGGCTCTCGGTGCTTGCTTCAGCCCGTATAAAGCCTTTCGGAGACGATAGACTTTGTCTTCTTCTCCTTTTTTCTCATAGCCTCGTGGTTGTTCCACATAGACTTCTTCTTCCAGTTCTCCATTCAGAAATGCTGATTTGACATCCAGCTGGTATACTGGTAACTCCAGTTGAGCAGCTAGAGCGAGAACTGTTCTGATGGTCTCCATCCTCGCTACTGGTGCATATGTCTCGTGAAAATCAATACCTGGCTGTTGTGAATAGCCCTTTGCCACCAGTCGAGCTTTGTACTTCTGGATAGAACCATCTTCATTGAATTTGATCTTATAGATCCATTTGAGACCTATAACCGGCTTGTCCTCCGGTTGATCAACAAGCTCCCATGTCTTGTTTTTCTCGATCATGGAAATTTCTGCATCCATTGCCTGGTTCCAAACTTCTTCTTTGGCTGCTTCTTCAAACACTTGAGGTTCACAAGAAAAATATGCAACATGACTTGTTTCATAAATTTCTTGTAAAGACCTTGTTTTTAACGGAGGTGAATCCGAGTCTGTTACGACGTCTCTGAAGTTGTCTCCTTCTGGACTAGGTGCAGAATTTCTTTCTGGACTTGCAACAGGATCTGGGTTGTTGCTGGGGTCTTCTGGAGTTGCTGAGTCCTCCAGAATTTCATAACTTGGTGGAGATTGAGAAATTGGATTTTCCCAATTCCACTCTGCCATCTCATCAAAGATCACATCTCGGGAAACCACCACTTCATTCTTTACCGGATTGTAAAGACGATAGCCTTTGGACTCATCACTGTAGCCAGTGAAGATAAGCTTCTCTCCCTTCTGGTCAAACTTGTCTCGGTTTGGGGTAGAAATATGTGCATAAGCTATGCACCCAAAGACTTTGAGGTGATCCACCTGTGGCCTCCTGTGGTGCCACGCATGTATCGGTGTCTTGTTCCGAACTGCTTTGGTTGGTGATCTGTTGAGGATGTAAATTGTTGTATTGACCGCTTCTGCCCACAAGTTGTTGGGAAGCTTCTTTGCTTTGAGCATACTTCTCGCCATCTCCACAATCGTGCGATTTTTCCGTTCTGCCACGCCATTTTGTTGTGGTGTGTAACGGACCGTCAGCTGCCTTTTTATCCCGTTGTTGCGGCAATACTCCATGAACGGAGTATAAATAAATTCTCCTCCACGATCTGTACGGAGAGTTTTGATTTGATGGCCGCTTTCCTTCTCAGCTACTGCTTGGAATTGAAGGAACTTGGGAAAAGCTTCTGACTTTTGCTCCAGAAAGAATACCCACATCATTCTGGTGAAGTCATCTACAAATAGTAGAAAGTATCTTTTGCCGCTGAGTGATTGTGTTCGGGTTGGACCGCATATGTCTGCATGTACCAACTCCAGTGGCGCTTTTGCTCTCCAAGATGTCTTTGGAAATGGTAAACGATGCATTTTGCCATATATGCATCCTTCACATATTTTATCTTCTCTGTTGATCTGGGGAAGTCCCGCCACCATATTTTTCTGCCTCAGCAATTTGAGGCCTCTGAAGTTGAGATGACCGTATCTGAGATGCCATAGGAAGGATTGATCCAGATTTTCACTCTTGAATGCTACTTCACCATTTTGTGACATAGCAAGAGAGAAAATTCTGTTGGAAGTCATCGGGATTTTGGCCACCATGAAATTGTCTGCTTTGTTGATAATCTCGCACACGCCATTATCAAACAATAGCTTGTAATTTTTCAGCATCAGTTGTCCCACGCTAAGTAGATTGAGAGTTAGCTCCGGAACATACAAAACATCTCGAATGAGAGTTTTGTTGCCTTCTTCTGTGCATACAACAACTGTGCCTTTTCCTTCCACTTTTAGCTTCTTCCCGTCTCCCAATTTGACTTGAGAGCGGTATTTGTCATCGATGTCGGTGAAGGACTCCAGATCTCCAGTCATGTGGTTACTGCAACCACTATCCACCATCCAGGGAAGCTGTGATTTTTGCTCACCATACAAGCATGACAAGGCCACCATATTGCTTTCTTCATTTTTGGTGCCGCTTGACTCGCCATCTTCTTGCTTGTTCTGGAACCAACAATCTCTCTGGGAGTGGTTCTGAATTCTGCACTTGGTGCACTTGAATCTGCAGTCTTTTGTTGCATGACCCGCCTTTTTGCAAATTATGCAACTCGAGCCGGTGTAGCCCAATCTTTGTTGTTGATAATTTTGTCCGTTGTTTCCTCTGTAATTGGATCTTCCTCTTCCTCTTCCTTGTGAGTTTCCCCCTCTCTGGCCTTGCTCCGATTTGGCATATTTACTTTCCGTCATGTTGACTTTTGACGTGAAAGCTTGCTCCAATGGCGGTTTGGTGAATCGGCTCATTCTTTGCTCATGTGCTACAAGTGAGCCCATCAACTCGCTCATTGATAAATTTGCCAAATCTTTGGTTTCTTCAATGACAGCAACAATATGCTCGAACTTTGATGATAAGCTCCGGAGAATTCTCTCCACGACCTTCCTCTCTTCCATGACGTCACCGGTGGCTTTGATCTGGTTGACTGTCTCCGCCACACGTGAATGGAAGTCTTTAATGGTGTCGGTTTCCTTCATCATCAAGTTGTCGAACTGTCGCCATAAACTTTGGCGCCTGATAGAGATTGCCTTTTCAGAACCTTGAAATTGTTCACGCAAGACATCCCAAGCTTCTTTCGCCTTTTTGATGCCATAGATTCTTGGGTAAATAGATTTGCTCACTGCTTGCTGAATGATTCTCAAGGCGCTGGCATTTTGCTTGGCATTCTCCTTGTACTCCTTTGTCTGCTTGCCTGCTCGTTTCTTCGAGTCTTCATCCTCGTCTTGTGGATCTTCGTAGCCTTCTTGGACGATATCCCACAGATCTTGAGAGATAAAAATTGGCTCCATTTGGGCACTCCAGTACTCGTACAATTCTCCATCGAAAATGGGAATTTGATTTGAGGAGGTAGCAAACATGGTGTTTGATGAAGTTGTTGTCATGACTTTTTTAGAAGATTTGGGTAGGATAGAAAAATGGGGATTTAAGAGGATAGAAGGGTATTAAGCTCTGATACCAAATTTTTTGGGTATTAGCGGAAGTAATGGTAATTTTGGATCAAGACAAAGGAAACATTTGGTGTTTAATCACTCATTTTTAGAAAACACTCAAACAAACAATGCCTTACACTTTTGGCTATTGTTTTAATTACACAAGAGTAAAGAACTTGCATACATCGCACACACTTTGTGCTTTCTTTCTTTCTTTCTTTTGTTTCTGTTACACACTCTACACAACCCATACTTACAACACACACATATATATATATATAATTGTAAATGCAAGAACCAATCACCCATCACATACTCTTCAATTCTCCAGCAACGTGAATAACAAACTAACATGGTCTTTAATATATGTATGTCCCATGCATTACTTCTCTTGTCTCCTTTGCATTTGCTGTACGTGATAATTGAATCATATTATTTGGTTGCTGGAGCTTCATATCACCTCATCTATTTGTGAACACCTCATGTTCCATAGGTCATTCACATTTATCATAAGAGACAATAATAATTAATCCATTGTTGATAATGTTGAGGCCTACCATGTGTAGTGTTTAGTGATAGGTTGATTGCAAATTACCATTCAACAGAAGCTCCTATTAAATTTATAGATCTGCTACGCCTGAAGCTTAATTGCATGGAAGGGAAGAAATGGTAGCCCTCCTTATCTTATTGTTTTTTTTAATTTGAAATTTGACTCTTCTATATGTACTTTAGAAGTGATTGATTTTCAATGATTTTTACTATCATACTTTTTGTTAAACATTGTCATATTTGATGGGATTAGTTGTGGCTGTATTGGTATGTATTATATATATTTTCTTATACATTATTGTGGTTTTATCTTATAAAAGAAAAAAAAAAACAAACCATAAATCTCATAAAGTATACCAGAAACATAAGAAAGCACATCAAAAATTTCGTAATGCAAACTACAAATCTCTTGAAGCACACCACAAATCTCGTAAAGAACAGCACGAATCTCATAAAGTGACTAGAAACACGAGAAACCAAACCATAAATATTATAAAACATACTTGAACACATTAGACTTAAAAGACGCAAGATATACTGCAAAGCATACTAGAATCACAAGAAAACACACCACAAATCTCGTAAAACACACCACTAATCTCACAAACAACAATGCCAATATTTCTAAATTACACCACAAACTTGTTAATGCATGCCACAAATCTTTTGAAACAGACCAAAAAATACCACAAAAATTCTAAAGTACACTAGAAAGCTTCGAATGCTAACCATAAATCTCTTAAAACATACAATAAACATCACAAAGCATACCACAAACATTACAAAGCATACCAGAAATATTTAATATTTTCTCGTGTTTTGATATGCTTTATGAAATTTTTGGTGTGCTTCAGAAGATTTGTGGTGCGCTTTATGAGATTTCTTGTTTGCTTTATAAGATTTTTTAGTTTTATAATATATGTGGTTTATTTTATGATATTTGGGGTATGTTCCATGAGACGGTACCGGTTATGATAGTTTGTTTTATGATATTTGTTAGGGCTGCTAAACGATAACGATTATTGTTTTACCGGTTTCAGTATTACCGGAATTCCCAAACCTTGCACCGTGCGCCGATACCGCCTGGCTCCCGGTATACCGCTTATCGTTTCAAAGGGTTTCGGTAAGTAAGGGACACGGCATCCCGACATACCATTTTCATTGATGTCCGCCTGCCCTGTCCCGTTGTCCGTCTGTCCCTATCCCGCTGTCCGCCTGTCCCTGTCACCGCCAGATCCCCAGACCCCAGCCACCCACCGCTGCTTCCTCATCGCCGACGCCGCCGCCTCGTGGTGGTGGTGTCAAATTGTCAAATGTCAATACTCAATTAAATTTGGTGCACAAAGCCACAATGGTCGGCTAATTAATAAAAAAAATCCAACAAGTAAATTCCAAACAACAAATTGCAAATACTAAAAAATAAGATCAATTGATCAAATATAGCATTATAGTAGTGCATACTACGTAGAATTCCAAATAGAGTAAATATAGCAATCTGGTCTGCTGCTTTTAAATGGTTAAATTAAATTCTAAGACATGAAGATAAAAAATAGAATGACTAGTTCCTAACTTGCCACTAGGACCTGTACCACCAACATCAACAAAACCTTGCTGCTTCATAGTGGTGCGAAGGTTATCATCGCCATTATCCTCCTCATCCTCGTCCTCCTCATCCTCGTCTGAATCTTCCTCCTCTTCCTCCTCCACGACAACAAGTAAACTTTGTTTGACACCTTCACTTGGCATGGCAGTAGCACTCTCCATTCAAGCTTGGAAGTTAGTAGTGACTAAGTGAAAAGAAAAAATACAAATTGTTAGAATTCATCTAATAATATGTAATCGGAAACTGAGTAATGGAATACTTAAAAATAAATGAAATTATGAATTCTTACCACTTTCATGATCGATTTGGTCTTGATTTTCATCTTGTGTATAATCAACTTTGTCTGCTTTCTTCCCTCCTTCATATCTTATCCAATCTTCAGCACAAATCAAGGCATCTACAATGGTGGGGCTCAACGAAGACCTAAACGGGCTGAGCACTCGACCTCCACAACTGAAAGAAACCTCTAAGGTAACAGAGGAGACTGGAACAGCTATGATATCCTTAACCATCTTGGAAAGAATAGGATATCTAACGCTGTTCTTACTCCACCACAGCAAGATATCAAACTTTATATCATTATCATCCTCGTTAATAGCATCACCAACATATCTTAAGTAGATGTCTAGCTCAGAAGAATCTCGAATCCCCCTCTGAAGTTGCTCCTTTCTCATCTTGAAGAATTCAGCATCAAATGTCCATCCATAAGATGCAGATCCAGTACCATCATCAGCAGTAGGAGTGGTCTGAACAGTAGGCTCGGAGGGTTGAGGTGCATACTTCAATCTGTAAACCTCAAACATTGAAGTCATCTCTGCAGTCACATCTTTCACCAAATCGTCTCTTTTCTTCTTCCCATACATCTTATCCCACAAACAATACAAATAAGCCATTTTACGCCTACGATCTAGCACACAAGCCATGTAAACCAGCCTATTTATCCTTAGGTTCTCCACCTCGTCATCATCATCATCATCATCATTCTCAAACCAATACTTTCGTACCTTTAACTCCATTCTTGCTGCCATCCGTTGTATCTCCACATCCATGTCTTTCTTAAAAAGTTCTGTCACTTCATAGATGTCAGCAATAGCCTTGAAGAAAGTATGAGCAGTCACAGAAGATGTTCCTGATACATCTAAAAATAACAACAAATTATTCCAAAATTAGTAATTAGTAATTACAAGTTAATAAAAGTAAAAACCATGAATTTTAATAGGTGGAGTTATGTTTGTTCACATACCTGATACCCGAAAGGTGAGCTCATAAAATAACTTAAAATACTTCAATAGTCGTCGAATACTGCTCCAATCTTCCTTAGTTGGAAACCTCTCTTTGAGTCCACATAATCCCGAAATGCAGAATCGTTGGGGCTTGAATCCATGAAGTTAAAAACAAGCTCAAACTTTTCTGCAGATTCAAACGTCAAATCAGTTGAGTTCCACCTAGTTGGAACATCCAAAGATACAAGTCTTTTTCCATCCATTTGTAGATATTCAATGGCAGATTTGAACTTTGCACTTCTACCTGGTGATGACTTCATCCATTTAACACAATTTCGAACCCTTTCTACAACAACTCCAACCTCCTTCAACCCATCTGACACAACCAAATTGATTATATGTGCCACACATCGAAATTGCACTCTGCAAGAACATTATTAGAAGAAGCATTATCCATGGTAATGGAGAACAACTGTTGTGCTTTCCAATCTTGTAGACATTCTGCCAAATTTTCTGCAATGTCCTTCCATGTGTGACTAGTGATGGGAACAAAGCTAATGATCCTCTTCTGCAGCTTCTAGTTACTCCCAATGAAATGAGCAGTCACACACATGAAATTCTGGTTGTTATCAGAAGTCCATGTATCTGTGGTGATAGAAATTCTTCCTTTGCACTTGGATTTGAAGAACTCAGATAGCAACCCTTTTTTCTCTAAAAAGATTATATAGCGATCCTGCCTTATTGTCTGTCTTCTAGGTATCACAAACAATGGTTGGGTTACCGCAATAAATCTCTTAAACCCTTCATGCTCAACAAAGCTAAATGGCAACTCATCCAAGATGATCATAACAGCTAATGCAGTTCTAGCTCGTTGTTGATCAAACTTCCATGGAGTAAGAGAGCCTACCTCACCATCCCCAGGTTGATAGCTCAATAGTTATAGACCATTGGCTTCCTTCCTCTTCCTCTCACATGCCAAGTGATGGTTCTTCAAATCAGAAGTCCCATTATTGGTCGAGTGAGCTTTGATCAACATTCCACATTGTTTGCATTTACCGTATGGGTAGTCATCCACCGGAACCTCATGATAAGGAGTCCACCACGGGGACTTCTTCTTCCTTTTTGTCACCTTCACAATTTTCTTTGCCTCACCCACTTCATCTGCTCCCCTTCCCACATCAGTCATCTGTGTAGGCGTAGCAGCTGCAGGTGGTGCAGTAGCAGGTGGAGATGTAATGCCACTGGTAGGTGTAGGTGTACTAGATGATACATTCCCTTGAATCCCTTCTGCAGCTCCAACACGAGTACCCACTTTTTTGGAAGTGGTTCGAGGAGGAATTGAACCACTTTTTTTTGGAGCATCTCCTTTACGAGGACGAGAAGATTTCATCCTACAACAAAAATTAAAAATGTCAAAAAATTAAAAATTTTGAAATTGCCAACATGCCAAAAAAGGCATAAATATTAAACCATTAAACAACTATCTTAATTCTTACATTTTTGTACTGGTTTCTCAAGTAAATAAATTAGTACAAAACAACAAAAGTTCTTCTACTGGGGCTGTGCTCGGCTCTATCTAAACCTGCAAAAATGAAA